GTTGTAGGGCTAAAACATATACCTGTGAGATTACATTAGAAAAGCTCTTGTTAAATATATAATTTTTTTGTTTACAATTATTTTTGTAAAGAAAGTAACTTTGATACAAAATATTTTTTTCTGGAGAAATATTTGTTATCTGTTACAAATATACTGATTTTATGAAGTGCTCATTTTATTGTCTGAATGTTCAGTAGGAGAAAGCAAAATGTTTAAAAAGTGTCTAAGTGTATGATGTCCTAATATAGCTACCTTTATCAACAAATTTTAAAGTATCATCAAAGAGCAGTTTCGTGTGTTTTTGATTACAGATTTTCCATGATAGTGTTGACTGGTGCTAATTACGTCATCGTCTTGTATTCCATATCAGCTTTTGTATGATGTTACTAAGGGCCAGCATCAGGAAGATTAACTTAGTGAGCCACACCATCCTCTCAGCACTTAGTAAAGATTAATTTAAACAGTTACAAGTACAATCTTTTTCAGATTTTTTTATTCAGTTCTCCAGCATTTCCCAAGTGTTCCAGGATTGTTACATATCAACAGTGATGTCTTGGAGAACTATCAGTTTATGTTAATTTTGGGGGTAAATGTTATCTAGGACTTTGATTTTAAAATAACAAATAGATGCTTTTTTTACTTTTAAAAACTTTTCATGTTGGTTATTAGTACTAGCTAGTAATTATCTCCAAATAATAAAAAAAATTAATTTTCTTCTGAATATATTTAAGTAATTTCTTATTATTACCGTGTTTCCTGTTCAACGTTTGGTTTTCATTGATATTTTTAGTTCTCCTTATCGATAGTTTATGTTTACTAGAAAACTGCTCTATGTGCGTATACATGCATATGAATTATTTTTCAATCGTCATGAGCTACAAGTTGGGGTTTTAAGCTTTGGATTGTTGAGGAGGGGTTATTACCTCTCTCTCTTTTTTTTTTTTTCCTTTTCTTTTTATTAGTGAATCCTTCTGATGTGATTATGCACCTTTTTTTTTTTTAACATTTAATGAAGTATTTTTCAACTGCTCCTAATCATACTAATTTTTTGTTAAAAGATCTTCTGCTCAGTTTGGCTCATGATTATTTCCAGCTTTTGTATACTGACACTTTTAAAGCACCTTGTGTTTGTGTATGCATGTGTGCATTAGTTATTGAGGTCAGATTCTGTACAGTAAGACATAACAAGTCTTAATTGCCTGCACGCAGGTGACCACACAGGGCTTTTTTCATTTTTACACAGAAAAGTGAGATTTAGTATAGAATTTTCTTCAGCTGGTTAAATAATTTCTTACATGAGAAATTTATGAGACACAATTTTTAGAAACTTCAGGGATAGTCCTGTGGTTATAGCGTTCATCTACCATCCCATAAGAATCCTTCACTGCAACACAGATTTTTTTCCTTTCTATTTTTTTTTCCAATGCTAAAGAAACTACTCAACCTGTTTCATGTCCTATTTGGTTGCCTTCAACATACCTTCCGATATAACAGACCTTCTCTTGTACCCCATCTTGTGATTTATTAGTTAGGGCACTCATCTATAACTATTCAGGGTCTTGTTTCTCCAGATCTTCAATAACACTAATGCACGTAACAGTGATACAGAGTTGCTAGCTCTGCTTCTCTCTGTTCATCATCCCCGAGTAAGGCATATCCAATAATTTGATTACTTTTAATTGTGACTTACCAGGTTTAATTTCTACCAAAACCTTTTTTTTTTTTCCATTTCAGAATTAAGAATTTAGACGTTTCCATTTTCATGTCTAGAGCTTCTCTTTGTAGCCAGGTTAAGAATTTTTTCTCTTCCTACTCCTGATGCCTTGCTCTTTGCTTTTGTACATAATCTTTTAGGTGTTGTCCTGGTTCCTACTCTTAGATGCCAGGCTAAATGTAACTCTAGGCAGCCTGTCCTCGATGTCCACAAGTTCTCTAGAATGGTGACTCGGTATTCTGCAGAACTGTAATACAAAGATCGTGAATAAAGTAGAACTATTGAGATGAACTCCTTGTGAGTCACGAAGGTCCACATTTCCTTTTTCAGCGTGTGAAAGTGGTGAGGAAGTCTGTGTTTGTGTGAGATTCATGGCCTGCAGAGTTCTGTTCCTGGCCTCGGAAATGGCAGGGCTGTGTCTGGGGACTGCTATGGTAGGCTGGCAGGTGACCGTCCTTGCACAGAACCGATGTGCGTCTCATGTAGAATTTCAGGAAATTGCTTGCTCCCAGCATCTAACATTGAATACATGGAGGGATGGAAGCTGAAGGTGTGACATGACAAAGTCTTGAAGATCTGTGAGTGAGCATGTAAATAAAGTCAAAGCAAGATTCCATTGGCTGAACGTGGGCATCTACCATCGTTTGATGTGTCCTGGAGCATCCAAGATGCACGTTGCCATATATGACCGGGCATCTCGGTCACAGGCAAAGGCAGGTAGTTCTGTGCCTTTCTGGAGAAGCAGCAGGCTATGTAGAATACACACCAAAATTTAAAATAACACTGCATGCCTGCAGCTTTTACAACCTTTTTTCACTTCTTTGACCTGCTTCTGGATCTGGATTGTGTGGATCCTATAGGGGCTTTTCCAGCTCAGTGATTTCTTCTTTGACTGTCAGCGTAGTTAAAAGTGTACCCACAGCATTCTTGAAGTGCTTACTTTGGTTTAGAAAGACAGGCTAATCTGTTTTTTAGTTTACCCCTTCTAAATTTACACAGACTGTCATAACAACTGGGGCAGCATTTCCAGGTTAAAATCATGATAGGTCTTTCAGCAGATTTTTCAGTGATGACAAATGATGCTAGATAATGTTTTTCAAACTTTTTAAAAAACATGCTAGGCTGAAGATCAAGTAACTCCACTTCTGGTCTCCTGTCAAGTCCTTACACGTTGCAAGAGTTAACAGAATAGCACAACATACTGTTTTCTTATTAAATGAAAAGAATATCATCATCTAGTGGGTGATTTTTATATTCCAGAGATGCTCTTTAGTGCTTTGATATGGCAATTTGACAAGTTTCAAGTGCATATCAAATCTTAGGAGCTAAGAAGCCAGCCAGGGTGTGAACCCAAGGTGTAGGATAGACACTGTGGATAGCTTGAAGTTTTAAGATTCGGTTTAGGTGCCTGTCGTAGGTATCTACAAGTACGGCAAGTGTCTCCTGCTATGCTCAGTGGAGAGCTAGACAGTATGGGCAAAGGTGCCTACAGACTAATTCTGTCCAGCCTAAAGTAACACCTAGTAGCTGATCAGAGCAGTTGTTCCTCAAGCTCCAGTGACTATGGTAACTATGCATAAGTTCAGTTGCCTAAGCATAGGCAACTAGTCATTTCTGATGCCAGAGGATGTCTGAAATATCTGCACAGGGTTGACAGATATAGCAGAGGACCTACCTGTACCCTCTGTACCTTTCTGGACTGGCAACTGAAGGCTTGATGGGATACCTTACGGTATCTCAGATAGCACTGTTGGTTGACGGTGATGAAAGTTTGTGTTCTTAATGTATATGCACACAGCTATATGTAGGTGTCTTAATTTAAAACTGAAACCCACTCAAAGTGATGCAAAGGTCCCCATCGGAAGACTGCACTGAAGCTCCTTAATAGAGGCTGGTGCTGTATTAGCTTTCGTAATAGCTGTTTATTTTAGAAGATCATCCCTTTGGTGTGGAATAAATCACACTACCAGGAACCAGATGATGACTACCAAGGAGCAGAACTATGTCAGTAGCACAGAGCCTTCTGAGGGTAGCCCTTTCTTTCCACTGAATTCCAGTCACCCACAAATTTTGTTGTGCTCTTTCCTCCTGATGTAATGTGTTGAGGGAGCTCTGGAAAAGCACCCCTTGATTTCTTCCTTGCTAGTTACTTCTGACATCATTTGTGTTAAGGTACTGACCAAAGAAAGCTAGGTGATTAAAGGGTTAACTGCTGGTCACTTGAACCTGTTTCTGTGTTTTTGCATGTGATATGTGACATTCTTACCAGATACCAATCCAAGGATATTGCTATAAACCAGTGATTGATTTTTTTTTTTTCTGGGAGAACTAGAGCCCCATGGTTGATTTCTGTGCTTCCTGACCTTTACAATATCGTCTGTATGTATGAACCACTGCAGCTCCATCTTGCCATCCTGTTCTTCCACATGCAAAGGAGCTGATGATACAGATACTGCATGTACTTCCCCTGACACAGTCTCTCAACATAGTTCAGTGCGATCTGCTTCTGTTGTACAAAATTGTAAACTCTAGCTAGCCTATGCAGTTTGCCTTTGAAAGTCTGGTGACAATAGTACACGGAATATCAGAAGAAACCATGTGGCCCTATGGTAACTACCATAGATCAGTGCTTATGATACTTCCTGAGGTCTAATCTGCAGCCCTACCCCTGTCTGGTAAATATTTAAGATTACTGTGTATTTATTACTGTATAGAAAGCTACATCAGATAGGCATGCTGTTTTTAAAATGAAGGTAAAGATTTAGCCATATGTAGCATGTGAGCACATTCCTGAAACTTGAAAAAACATATCTAAACAGTGAAACACATTGGCAAAGATCATAGTGCCATATTAAACCATGAAATCTTTGAAGTTCTAATGATGACTCTTTATATCTCCTTTCCAGTCATTATTCCTTCCTCTCTTTCCCACGGCAAAGTGTTTGGTTAGAAAGCGACCTATGGTGTGTGACCCCTTGACTTTAGTTTTAAATTGTAGAGAAGTCTGTTGCATCCTGTTTCAAAATATATGGAGTAATCAGGGGTTTATGTCAGAAGTATCCCTTTGAAAATAGGAACCAGCACTTAGTTGCACACAATTTGCTATGAAATCAGGGCATGCAAACAGACTGATTAAAGCAGAAATTACCGTATTTTCTGTTTTTAAATAAACATAAAGATCATAAAAATCCCCTGTAAGGTGGGCTTTCCCTTACAGGATAAAATGGAATTAAAATAGTGTCAATAAATTGTGTGAGAGACTGTATCAGTCTGTGCATTGATAGTCTGTGCATGCAGGATAAGAACATTGACTGCCTGCTAATCTATTCCCAGATGGAGGTGGATGCAGACGAGAAGCGCCATCGCACACGCTCCAAAGGTGTTCGAGGTATGTCTCTTGCTTCAGTAAATCACTCAAGGCCCCTGCTCAGGGTGACCTTCATCCTCCAGAATCTCTTTGCACGATTCCTTCTGACCCTTGCTTTTACACAACCTTTCTGGTAATTTTCTGTAGAAGAGGGGTACTTGTAATAGATGATAAATTTTTATATATTTTCCATCTCTCTGCAGTTCCCGTGGAACCAGCCATACAAGAGCTGTTCAGGTTAGTGCTCTGAGTGTAAAATGTATCCCCATTAGCAATTTAGAAAATTCGTGCCTTTTAATGGGTATAATGCACTTTCAAGTTCATTGGTGGTTTGCTCATGCCCTGCTGCACAGATGAAATTAATTCCCTTGAGACTTGCTAATAAAAAGCATCCCCTCTTTTTTTTTCCCTTCAGTTATTTGATTTCTCTTTCTGTCTTTGTTGCCCTCCATCTCTGTAATACCTACTGCCTGCTTTTAGTATAATCCTTCTGCAGCACACCAGCACCTATATAATTAATTCTCTCTCTTTTGCAGCTGTCCCACGCCTGGCTGTGATGGCAGTGGTCATGTTAGTGGCAAATATGCAAGGCACAGAAGGTAATATCTGTAATTTTTCATAATTTAGTGAAGAGATTTGGTAAACAAGTTAGCTGGCAGGACCTTGATAAACCAAACAATGATAAAAATTAGTAATTAGACATTCTAAAAGCCATGTGGATTCACTTCACTTTTTTTTTTTTCCTTTCTGCATGTCACACAAAATCTAACTCACATTTTTGCTGAGGAAACTTGTTCTCATTGCCAATCTTCTCTCTATTTTTGCATACAGTTCTCTTGCTCATGTGTTGCAAATTAAAATTTGGCCCTACTGACATGTTGGTGCCAGGGTGACTCCTGTTATTTAATGTATTTTACAACTGAATGAAAATGAGCTTCTGAACATTTTAAGTTTGATCAGGGTAGATTCAAAGGTCAAAGCCTGAGACAAATCAGCGTAAATAAGACTTTAGGGTTCAAATATTATACTGTAGTTATAAACACCTTTACTTCAGTTTCTAAGCCATGATATGTAGAGATACCTCCTTTAAGAAAATGGTTTTAGCTGTTTATTGTTAATAATATATAAGGTAGCATATGTTACGTATACCACATGTGCTTCAAATTAATTTAGAGCTCAATCTTTAAATTTCTGTGTCTACAATTTCAATGTTCAATAGTGTTGTACATCTGTATCAATAGCATTCCTTTCCTGAATCATATGTCCATGAATTTCTTGTACAATATTTTGAAAATTTAACAGCTCTAGAATACATGAATTTTTCTCATGTGCTGTGCATTTCATTTGACATATTTTATACAGCAGCCCATTGCAAGAGATAAAATGGCTGATGTTTTGGCCATCTCTCTCCTGAATAGAGGGAGGTGTTCAAACCAGTGTTAAATTTTCCTGAAACTGCTAAGGTTTTAAAGCACTTGTGGTGTTTATAAGAACATGTATTTCACACCAAATCTGGTAACTGCTTTGTAATAAGGGCATATGGTTTCTGTGAATTAAATTGAAATTATACGTTTGTGATTAAGGCATTTATTTGAAGCAGGAAAAGATACCAAACAGTGACATGTCAGTCCACTCAGTGCCCCTCCGTCCACTCATGTGCTGCCTTTTTTCTTAGCAGTGAATGAAGCTTAGGGACAAGTCCAGAAAATACTTTACAAGAAAAGTGATATGCCTGATATTAAAATTCTCTTGAATTACGTTTAAACAATATAAAACATAACATAATTATATTCAAATTTATTTTCCTAATCTTTTTTCACTCATAAAAATGGTAAAAGTTTTGTGGTTATTTGAAGGATTTGATTAGATTGGAACACTGATTTAGGAGAAATAACCAAAATCATTCTTAAATTCTTCTTAAATATTTCTTCTTAGATTTGCTTGTGACTTCTCATTTCAAACCATGGTTCTCTTTTGTCCATGTAAATATAAGCCTTATCAGCCATTAATGAATGGCACCAAATCCTTCTTTTCCCTCAGAAATTTCACAAGCAGTCAACAGTTAAATGACATGATTATAATGTCCTTTCTAGTTACAAGATTGTAACTACATACATTTCTTTACACTTCACGGGATTTGCGTGCGGATTTCAAAAACAAAAGTCTTGAAACATACAGAAATAAACTCTTTAGCTTTAAAAAAACCCCTGACTTTCCTCCTGAATTGCTCTAACTTTGATCTGTGTGTCTATGTTAAATCACCCTTTGGGGGAGGGGGAAGGAGTAGATGTGAGGTTTGGAAAGATTACATGCAATTTTGAGACGTTAATTCCATATTTTGCTTTCTTGACATGATCCTGGTATGTCAGTACACGAACAGACTGAATCTCAGAGCTGTTAATTAAATGAAATTTTGGGCAGATGCGCAAAGAATAAAAATTGGAAATACATCAAAAATTCCTTTTTTTTTCTTACTGGCTAAAGAATTTGTGGGGGTTTTTTATGTTTTCTTGTCACCCTGATTGCCAATCCACTAATCAAAATATATTTAACCAATATATGTCTTATTTTGTGTAAAAACACAAAGTTCTTTGTTGAGGTTTACAATATACATATCTATTTTCTAAAAGAGCAGTAATTTTTTTATCTAGTCCAACCAACAGCTAGTAAATTTAAGTTTTCCGAAGAATCCGAAGGAATTTATCTTTTTTCTGTTTTGCAATTTGGGTGGGAAAGACCCTCAAACATTTCTTCCAAGGAAATCAGACTGTCTTAAAAATTTGATGTGTTCAGGGAATTGCATATCTCAGCTGATGCCTAACTCAATTCCATTTAGACCTACAGAGCTTTTTAATGAGGTTAAGACCTTTCCATTCACAGTACCAGACCGGCTCATTATTAGGAATTAAATGTATTTGCTTCCACTAGATGTAGTCAGAGCTCTCCAGAATTCTATTTCTTCTATAACATCTTGAAGTCTCTGGAATTTCAGGGGTTTTTTTAATTGAAATTTTATCCTTGTAATACTAATGTGACACTGAAGATACTACCTTAAGCTTCAAGCGAAATAAACAGATCCTTTCGAATTTTCAGACAGATTGAGGGGATGAAATATTGTTCTGCTGATAGAATGTTAGGTAGAAGTTAAAGGAGAGTTTTATCATATGTTTTGTACCCCAATTATGTTTTAAATTATGAAAGAGCTGCAATGGTAGGGTTGGCTAGGGAAACAAGGAGGCCTTATATGTCATGGATATTTCCTTTGAGGCATATGAAAACACGAGAGTGGCACTAGTTAGGCTAACAGTGGTAACAACTTGTATCATTTCCATCTTTTTGATTTTTTCTTTGTGTCAAATCTTAGTTTGAAGTGAAACCTTGCGTGGCGTTGTACTTTGCTCTCAGCTCTTAAGTTTGGTGCTTAATTTTAGCTTGTTAGTTGGGCATGCTGATAGACAGCTGAGATGGACAGGCTTCTCTGCAGGGCGCTTTAGGGCAGGACGCTGGGGTCTCTCGAATGAACTCAGCGAAAGCGCCTCTCTCCAGTGACTGCACAGGAAGCTCAGAAAGATTAGCATCCCTGTTTGGGCACTGAGGGTAAGTGCCCAAGGTTAGGTGCTGTGCCTACCTTCTTCGGAGAAAATTCACATCTTTTTTTTTAAAGTTTATTTTAGTAATACTTAGAAACTTGAAGCTATCATGGACTCTCTAGTACTGTGTATGATGCACAGCGTGAGGCAGTGCCTAGATGTTAACGTTTACACAGATAGGACTTCAGTACCTGTTTATGTTTCCAGACACCTGAGGCCAACTGAACTACTCACAGATCATGCAGTTAAAGAAATGCCTGTATCTTTGCAGTATCAGGTCCTGAAAAATAAAAAAAAAAACCCAAAGGTTGTGAAAGATTTGAAAGCAAAAACAAAACCAAAAAAATAAGCCATAAACATGTTGAGATGGTGGTGGAGACAAGAAGAAAATTCAAATCTTAGGAGTGAAAACCAGAGCCTCTCCCTGGGCCATGCTCCTGATACGGTTTATTTTAGTCACTTGATAGCTCTTCAGGTCCATTGTGCATAGTGCATAATAACAAACAATACTCTTATACCTTCAGAGCTCTGAATTAATTTTGAACAGTAAGCTTGATCCAGATCCTTGGATACTTTTAGCTGTGAACAATCCATCTGGGTACACAGCAGTTACCCAAACCACACCAGGAGATTGTTCTCAGAACCGTGTTTTCAGGATGTCTGTCGGCTAAGCGTCTGAAGAGAAACGTAGATTCCAGTGTTCTTTCATTGCAATTAATAGGAACTTTGCCAGTTTAATTAGTCAACTTTACAGGCAACACGATTCACATTGTATGTATACAAATATAAATGTAAAAGCAAGTCCAGTTTCTGCTGTAAGTTCAGCGGGTGCAAATGTCATAGTTACTCTTGAGTAACTGAGCACAAAATGGCCTATGTTATTCACTGAGTAGATGTGAATGAGGGTTTTAGAAATATTACACCCTATTGCGTTGCTGTGTATTTAGCATTTTTTTAAAAACACATAATAGACCAAATAGATGCCTATGGTTTGCCATGTAAATAGGTACGTAGACACATCATAAAAAGCCTAACTAGATTCCATTTAAAAAAGTACTGATTACATGCAATGGCCTATTTTAAAAGCATCTTAGCATCAGAGTTGTGTTTTTTTTTCTCAAGTAACAAAAGCCATTAGATTCTGTAATTGATTAATCACTTGCCAAATGCCACATGCTTCAGAATGAAACACATTCTGACAAATAAGAGCCCTTAAAAGAATGTTAAACTGATAGTGTGGCACTACGTATACTAATTTAGGATTCTTTTAGTGCATATATCAGTGCGTATTTGAAAGCAGATAAAGCCATTGTATAGAAATTAAAACAAAACACAATCTTAGTCTGAAACAATATGCATCAAATTTCGGTGAAGGATGAATTGTTAAGGCCAAACAATAAACCCTTCAGATTTAAAATGGAAATACTGATAGAGCTCTCACTATATCATGAATTTCAATTCGATTGCTGAAAATAAGAATTCAGCTGAAATAAACCAACTTGAACATTTCATCTACCAAGGAATTTTGCATGCCTTTTCTTCAGTTCATATGGCATTTGTAAGGGATTTTTTTTTTCATTAATCACTGATACAATGTCTTGGAAAAAGAAGCAAGTCTCAAAAATGAAGAGGGATCATAAAATAGTGTTTAGATCTATAATGTATGAATTGTCCCTAACCTTATAAAATACATCTAATTTTAATTTTCCACCAAATTTCTTGGTATCACTAGTTCTTTGTTGCTTTACTAGGCTGTCTTTTTCTATTACATTCTACAGATAGCATAGTTTTGACCATCTTTTAATTTTTAAGCGTGAGATTTGTCATTTCATATAGCAGATTTATTTGAATTTATAAATACCTTAGAGTTTAGCATTGCTGTTTTGATTAGGAAAAGCCCCCCATACCCTTGTATTGCCTTGGCATTACATACTCTGGTTTAGTCGTCTGTATTTTAGAACAGAGTGACTGAAATAATTCAGGCTCCCAAACTTGGAAATTAAAAGACT